TTTTGAATAATAGGTTCAAAGGATATGATTCTTTATTTTGACCATCGGATCGTTTAAGGTGTTTGTCACAAAAAATAGGGAGATAAGTAAAAAAAAAAGAACCGAAAGGTGACGGGAGGAAGAGCATGAGCATGCCCAAGTAAAAAAAAATTAATTAGAATGCTATTATTGTAATAAACTTGGTCACATCTAGAGATATTTTTTTAAGTGGAAAAAGGAGAACAAGGATAAAAAGAAAAAGTAGAAGGATAATGATTATGATAATAATCGTGTTACTACTACTACTACATGTGCTGATCTTGTTCTTTTTCATGACCGAGTTTATCAATCTTGTATATGATGAGAGCATGTGGGTAATTGATAGTGATGTCACACTGCACATTATATCGAGGAAGGAGTTCTTCACATCTTGCACTTCTGGAGATTTTGGAGTGTTGAAGATAGGTAATGATGATGTGCCAATGGTTATTGGTATTGGTGTTGTTTGCTTGCAGACCAACATGGAAATGCATATTACTTGAGGAGTCAAACATGCTCTAGATGTGCATTTTAATATGATCTTTGTGTATTTACTTGATGATAGTGGTTTTGGTAATCACTTTGGTTCTAGTAAATGGAAACTCACTAAAGATAACTTGGTCATGACTAGAGGGGAGAAAAATTTTAAATTGTATTGGAATAAAGCTTTGATGACTAAGGACAATGTGAATGTTATGTATATCAAGACATCTTTGTGGCATTGGAGACTTTCTCATATTAGTGAAAAATCTTAATTACTTAGTTAAAAAATATGTGTTTTTGGGATTGAAGAGTTCAAAATTGGATAAACATTCTCATTGCATGACTGGTAAACAAGCTAGAGTATCCTTTAAGAAACATCTTTCCTCAAGGAAGTCAGAGTTACTTGAATTTGTGTATTTTGATGTTTGTGGCCCATTAAAAGTAAAGTTATTTAGTAATGCACTTTACTTACACTACAGAAAAAGGATCAACTATTTTAAAAGTTTAAAGAATTTCATGCTTTAATTGAGAGACAATTAGTCAAGAATTTGAAATGTTACGTCTATTACAAGCAACATGATATCAGACATGAAAAGACTCTTGCTAAAACTCCTTAGTTGAATGGTCTAGCGAAGAGGATGAATAAAAAATTGGTTAAAAGAGTTAGATGTATGCACTTTGAAGAAAAAGTTGCATAAGCATTTTTAGGGAGAGACATTGCTTGCAATAATGCATGTTATTAATCCAAGTCTTGCAATTGCTTTGAATATTGAGTTGTCAAACAAAATTTAGTTTGACAAGAATGTTGGTTATGATAATTTGCATATTTTTAGTTGTAGAGCATCCGTTTATGTTCCAAAAGATGAAAGATCCAAGTTAGACACAAAGACAAGAAAATGTATCTTTATTGGTTATGGTCTGGATGAGTTTGTCTACAAGTTATATAATCATGTTAAGAAGAATATATTTAGTAGCATTGATATATGTTATGTGCATAGAGATTGGGTCTGGTTGGGCTCGGGTCCAACTGCATGAGTAAAGTAGGTCAAGATAAACCTATTTGGGGGAGATGAACTTGATTGATACCTAATGGGCTCAATGTGTAGATATTACGAAGAATAAGATATTATTGGCCCCGATAAATGCGTCAGGAGAAAAACCCTAAAGGGAAATTTTATTATAAAGGGCAGAGGAAAAAAACCTAGGGACATCTCTCTTTTATTCCAGAACAATATATAATTCATGGAAGACCAAACAATTAAAGATGTTAACAAGGTGAAGAAGACTACACTCTAGAAAGATAGTAATCTAACTAATGTTCTTAATTTGGATAATGTTAAGACTGATGTTCAAAATGAGGAGCAACATGGTGATGTTGATAATTAACAGGTTGAAGATGGATTAAAGGTCCCAATTGATGCTCAAGATGAACATGATATGATGATGTACCTGAATTATCATAAGTCCTTACCAAGAGGTCTAACAGGTTTAGAAAACCATATTCTAGGTATCCTTCTAATGAGTATGTAACCTTGACCGATGGTGGAGAACTTGAGTGTTTTGAAGAAGCCTTAGAAAGTGAAAAAAAATAATAGTGGTTAGATGTAATACAAGATGAGATGAAATCTTTGCATAATAATCACACTTATGACTTGGTAAAATTGCCTAAGTGCAAAAGGGTTTTAGAAAATAGGTGGATTTTCAAGGTGAAACAAGAGGTTAATTCTATATCTCAAAGGTACAAAGTCAAGTTGGTGGTGAAAGGCTTTAGACAAAGAAAGGGTGTTGATTCCAATGAAATTTTCTCACTTGTGATGAAAATGTTGTCCATCAGAACTGTGCTAAATTTAGCTACTACTCTTGATTTAGAGGTTGAGTAGATGGATGTGAAGTAGACTTTCCTTCATGGTAATTTGGAGGAAGAGATTTACATGAAACAACCTGATGATTTTTTTGTTGAAGACAAGAAAGATTATGTGTGTAAGCTAAGAAAGAGTCTATACGATTTGAAATAGGCTCTAAGATAATGATACACAAAATTCGAGTATTTGATATGTGATTAAGATTACAAAAAGACTATTTCTTATTATTGTGTCTTTATTAGAAAGTTACCTAAAAATGACTTTATTCTGTTGTTATATGTTAAAAAAATAATTGGACGAGTTATTTGTCATTAAAGACATGAAAGCTACTAAAAAGATTCTTGACATAAATATCTTGCACAATAAATGAGAAAATAAGATTTGACTAGCACAATAACACTACATTTAGAAGGTGTTATAGAGATTCCAGATGGAATGATAAAATAGTAAACACTCCTCTTGTGACTCATTTTAAATTGTGTTAAACAAAGTCCTTTAAATGAAATTGAGAAGACATATATAAGTATAGTTTCTTATGCATTTGCAATGTGCAATTTGATGTATGCAATGATATGCACAAGACCACATATTGCACATGTTGTTGGTATATTTAGTCGATTTTTGTCTAATCTAGGTAGAGAGCATTAAAATATTGTGAAATGAATTTTGAGGTATCTTTAAGATACTAGTGATTTGAGGCTTTGTTGTGGAGGTGATAAACCTACTTTGATTAGTTACTCAAACTCAAATATGGCTGAAGGGTATTGATTCTAGAAAGTTCACTTTAGGCTATTTGATTAAGTTTATAGGGAGACTTTTGGCTTGACAATTAAGATTGTGAAGGTGCATAACATTGTCTTCTACAAAGGTAGAGTTCATTACCATTACAGAAATGTGCAAGGAGTTGTTATGATTAAAGAAATTATTGCAAGAGCTTGGTTTTGTGCAAAATAATTATCCATTATTTGTAGACAGTCAAAATGTTGTTCATCTTGATAAGAATCCAACTTTTTATTATAGGTCCAAATATATTAATGTGAGATATCATTCGATATGTGATACTTAGGATGTTAAGTTATTGGAGTTGGATTCATTAGATGACAATGATCTTGATATGATGAATGAGGCACTGCTAAGACAAATTTTGAAGATTGTTGTCAGATCACTGGATTGATGGTCACCTGCACATAGTTGTGATCGAGAAGATATGTTGGGTTGAACTTCCAACTATGTGTTTAAAAACTCTAAACTAGTCACTCTCATTTTATCTTTATTTAACATAAGTAAAGAAGAGCCTTCTAGGTCAAAAGAGATTGTTAATTTTTGCAACCTTTGGAAGACAAAAAAAAGTGAGAAAACTGGTTGACATATTTATCGAGCAACCCTAGTAAAAGTACAATTTTTACTTCATTCGTAGTTGGATTGAGATGAAATTTTGATAGTAGGTTTGAGGTATATGGTTCTTCATTTTAGTCGTTGGGATCAATTTCATAAATGAATATCGCACTGTTGCTATATTTTAGGTTTTCCTTTTTTTGTTCTTCAAATTTAAGAACATTAGCTTTGATGTATTAACTACTTGTAAACACTTTTTGGTGCATTTGATTTGACTTTTTTGTATCCATTTTTTTTATCTTAATAAAACTTGATTGATTAGTTTGTCGTAGATTTTTACTTCTCATATTTACATAATTTTCTCACTTAAAAATATTTTTGTCATTTCCTATTATTACTACTTTTCATGCAAGTTTAGAAAAATTATTTATGATACATAATTTTGATATTTTTGGTAATTGTGGTGTTTTTCTTATCAAAACTAACATATTTTTTATGATTATTATTTTATATTATTTTCTAAAAAGAGTAAAAAAAAGTAAAAAAAAAAGTAATTATTTTCTTTTAGAGGATTAGTTTCTGTATATTTTATTATTGACCGAAATATCAATTGTGTAAATTAATAGTTTAGAAAATTAGAAAAAAAATTAATTGATTTTATAATGTAAAAGTCAATTTCAAAACTGTGTTGATTGGATGACAATTATAATTACTAATTTAGTGCATTAATTTAGAAGAATCTGGCAGCGCCATCAAGTGTTGGAAGTTTTGTAGAGACCAGATGATATAACAAGTAAAACATGCGGAGTTTATTAATAAACAAAACAAAACAAACATCTTTCCTGTAAATTGGTGGAGGGGAGTGTAGCATGAAAAAATAAAATATTTTATTGATGATTAATTCAAATACAAGAACCTAAAATATATTTTAAATTTTTTGTCAAGAAAAATTTATATGGTTAATATAACGGAGACCATACCCTTCATTAACACAACACCTTGGCAAGTATTTATTGTAACGGGGATGTAAAAGGATGGATATACAAGTACATAGTCATCTAGCGTATAAATACATAAATTGCGACAATATAAAAATATTTCAAAGAAAGAAAAGTAGAAAAAAAATAAAATTAATTTTTTCTATATTAAAATTACCTTATGCATCACGTAAAAATAAAATTTTGAAGAAACTACACGGGAAAGTTTCTACAAATTATATTATGCATAAGTTAATTTTAATTGATAAACAAATCAATTTTATTTTTCTTTTAGAAGTTGTGGAGAAGTTTGCGCAATAATAATCTAATTATTGGCAAGAGTTGGCTGATCCTGTGGTGGTGCAGTTTCCTTTGTAGGAGCTTGTTTGTGGCAAGAACGGTGGTGACCCGGTTTGGGGCACTGAAACCGTTCCGCACCTCGACTCATCAGGACCCCAAACATGGCTCCGAAGCCGAACACAAGGCCTATCTTAAGAGGACGCATTTGCTTTGATGCAGAAGAACACCAAACTAGGGTTAGCTGTTTGTGGAGAAGAAATATGCGGAATATGTGTATATATATATATATACATACGAATACCATGAAGGAGGAATCTTCCTATCGCCGTGATGACCACGCCTTCATTAGTCAAAGTTCTTTACATGGCTACGTATCCCCTCCTCCAAGGCTGGAATATGGAATAGTTGACACATGGCATTGAAAGTGACATGCAAGAAAAGAAAATAAGTGAGAATAGTCATAACAAATCAAAGTATGTGATGAGGAAAATTCTCTTTATAAGATAAACTAAAATAATTTTCATTTACTTACAAACTTAACTCAAGAGTTAGAATAACTTATAAGTTTTTTTTTTTAATGTCATGCACAACGATTATATTTGTTATGATTAATCATTGTATATGAAATATTGTATTATTCACTCTTATTTTATCTTTAATAAGCACCTCATCAACTTTCTATCGTATTTAAAAAGACAATGGCCTTCGCACATGTCAGTGGCCCATTTACCAAATTGCCACCATATAAATGATTGAGAGTGCTACGCTTAATATTTCTTCTGAACACTAACCCTTGTCATGACTTCAAGTCTTTGAATATATAATTCTTTATTATCAATCATTATACCAAAATATTGCTTTTATTGAAGATTAGACTCAACTCCTTTCTAGGAAAAAAATATTTATAATTTACCTTTTATTCCGACTCCTTAGACGTTAGAGCGTAGAAAAAAATATATGTATTTTCTTTCAAACTCGATTATGTTCTATACATAACTAGATTAAATATAAATATAAATACATAACTAATTCAAGTCACATTTAATTTATTCATATACTCTGGTCACTAACTTTGTGTATGTGACTTGATAGATTTTCTCTAGACTAGTAGTAGTATTTAATGTCACAAACTCATTTAGCAATATATCACTTACCACTGTCTAGTCAACGAGAAGCTCAATGATCCAGTTGTAAGATTTATGTAATCTTATCCAATGTTTCTTCATTTTTAAGTCTTGAAAAATATAATTCCCATTAAACTCTCTCAATAATAAAGTAAACACTTAAAAGATAAACAAATTCAATATCACATTCACTTATTTGTGTAGTCACACATATTGTAAAAGGAACGAATTTTATCTAGAATACTCACAGTCCTCGTTAATGGTGGGCCCAAACAAAAGAAAGTTCTCATCAAATTTTAGTGTATAATATTTTTTTTATGTTTATTTTTTATTAAATTAAAATTTTTCAAAGATTTATGATATTTTTGAAATTAAAGTAACTTTTACCTAAGATCATACCGGGTTTAACATAAAATATATGTATATCTTTAAATGTCTATCTTCTTAAAAATTAAAATGAAATGGGTTAGTTAAGGGCTGCCTCGAATCCAATGGACCAAATGCTACTCCTGTCCACTGATTTGGATAAAACTTTTGCGTAAAGTCTTTCCCATAACCTAATTCGAGAAAAGAAGACAAAAATGTGTACCTACGTGTATTTATTCATACTTGGTTGCTTATGCAATAATATGGACAGGGACTCTAATTCTACAGAAACATCGACTAGTCAATTTCACGCACTCTCTCGTTGGGTTTATTGTAGTGTGTGATAAATATTGCCCTAGTATTTGGAGTAAGGGTCAAAGTCAAAGGCATCTTGCACCACACCTCCGCTACAGACTTTTGTCTCTTCTATTATTCTTCTTGCTTCTAACGGTCTCAAGATAACATATCACTACATATAACATTGTTTATGTAACTTTTGAAACTTTCGTTTGGTTTGGGTTTGTTTGTGGTTAGAGTGTTTGTGCTGCAAGGTTTGTTGTTCTCTCAAAGGATTCTCAAGTTATACCCATTGTATTTTATTGTTTGTGTTCCATTTTTGTTTCTTGTTTTTGCAAGTTGTTTGATTGTTCTAGAACTTTGTCAAAATTTTAGAAGGGAGGACATACCTACAGATTGCAAGTTTCACAAGGCAGTCCTGAAAGACAAAAAGACATATCCACTAAAGGTTTTACAAAGAGTTTAGAGGAAGATTCGTATAAAGGTTGAATTTCTGGGTAATCCAAGTAAGAATGAGAAAGTTGAACAATATACAAAAATGTATGACTCATTACTTAATGTCTCAAGATTTTGGATTAAGAGTGGTGTCAATCCCTTATGTGGGTTGGACTCAGGTCTCACATTGATTGTGTTTCTCCCACGTGAATCTTCCCTCAAAAGACCCAACCCTCTCTAACTCACAACTCACTCTAGCCCCCTTAAGCACATCAGTGGCCCTTCCAAGTATTATAACGGGATACACTTACTTGAAATCCTTGTCAAGAAGACTTTCGACACAAGAACCACTCTTAAACACCCACACACCCACTGCTGATCAACCTTTGGCTCCCCCTCTGCCGATCAACCTTCGACTCTGATATCACTATTGAGTAATTTTTACAAGGACAAAATTGCAAACCCTCTCATACAATTTTTGTATGGAAAAATTGCAAACCCTCTCATGACACACAACAACCAAAGTCCTCAATACACCGTTAAACTAGTGTTGTTGTGGTGAGTAAACTCAAATTATCACCTCTTATTTATAGTAATAGTTACCACTCCCTTCTTCAAACTACCTGATGTGGGACTTTGGAGGATACTCACACACTTTGGGCACAATAATTCTCTCTCCCATCCTAACTTACATTGAACCTATCACTTAACCGCATAAACTCCTCCTTTTGTTGATGTTGGTAACTCTTGAACATCTCTTACTGCTCCCTTGCCACTACAACAGTAGCTAACTGTTGGACCTCCAAGATTTGCTACTACTGTAGTGGCTAGGAGTTGCAAATCACCACAAACTAGAAACTTAAAAGATGTTCATCTTCATTTTAGGGCATACAAAATTTACATTGAATCTTGTACTAGTTCAATGTAAATTTGCATCGATTAGTTACTTTGATGTAAATTTATGTCTCTCATATTAATGTTAAAATTTAATAAAACATACAAAAATCATCTTATCTGCACCAATTTTAAGAAAATTGTTTTGAAATGAATATATATGGGCCAAACCCATCTCTTTTTGCATCATGATATATATATATATATATATATATATATATATATATATATATATATATATATATATATATATATATATATATATATATATATATATATATATATATATATATTTGTTTGATGACACATGCATGTTTTATTCATATGTCTCTCTATAACATATTATGTCCAGGGATGCATAGACAAAAAAGGGTGAGCATATGAGTTGGGATGCATAGCATAGAAATATAAAGCTTGTTTTTATTTATCATCAAATCATATCATATGATATGAAAGATAAAACAATTGGTTACTAGCCTATGTGAAGAAAATACAAATTTGAAAGAAATGATAATAGCTTCTCAACCATAGGCACACTTGTTCTTGGAACAAATGAGTCGATTGATATTATAATTGAAACCCAATTTCCTCTGCTAGTCTAATTTTCTCACAAGTTCAAACTCTTATACAAATTTAACCTCCTTCATAATTGAAGAAGATGAATAATCAAATGACAATGAACATTAATTGATTATATAAATTTAACCTAATTCACAACTAAAGATAATGAATAATCAAATGATAATGATCATTGATTGAGTATATGTCATTTGATATCTTTAAGACATTATTATATTTATTTTTAATTTTATGCTTTTGAACAAAATACTTTTAACACAAATATTTTCATGTAATATTATTTATATTTATTACATTATTATATTTTATCTGGAATTAAATTTAAAAATATATAATGTATTTCATTTTTTATTACTTTTTGTAAAGCTCAACAAATTTGTTTAAAGCACAATTTGCTTAAGTTATATATTTTCTCACTTAAATGTAAAAGAAGTAACTTCAAGCTAGCCTCATTTGAGCATGAACTATTTGTTCAAAGTGGAATATCTAAAACTCAAGATAAATCACTTAAGTGTCTCACTAAAATAAGCATGATTACTAGTAAATGTGACTAGCTTAAATGAGCTATGTTACACTTAAGCGAACTTCACTTAAGTGAAACAAATACTACTTATACTAGACTCATTTAAATAAGCATTAACACACTTCAATTGTAAAAAGATGATGTACATATGTAGCTAATTTTGTCACTTCTAACAATAAAGTCAACACTTAAATGAAGGTTTCTTAATGTGACATACTCGCTTACATAAATGGAGTTCACATAAAAAAAGAGTGCTTACATGTATAAAAAACTATGTTTTTTGTGACAAATTATATAACAATTTATAATGAAATAATGTTTTAAATAAATTAAATAATACAATCAATATGAATTTATTTATGACAATGTTTTTATTATTATTTATGATAATAATGAAAAATTCATCACAATAACATTCCATTTTGTCGATACTTTCGTAATATCATATTTTATTACAAACTTGTTTTGAGATGAATTTTTTATTGTTTCTTAGTAAATATTATTTGTAATAAAAAAATATTTTTAATATAATAATAGTTGAAATGTGATGTTCCATCTCATATAAATTATGCTTCATAAAGATATTTTTGATATAAATTTAAAATTTTTATGGTGAAAACATAGTTATAATTTTCATTTATGTAATAAATCTAAACAACTGAAGTCACTATAAAATAAATTGCAGTTTAAACCTCATTAAGCATGTTACTCGCGGTTTAATCCCTATTAATGTCTGGTTCTTCTCCACGGATTTTAAAACTCCGTTAACACAATTCTTTTCCATGGTTTTTAAACCCCTACTAGCATTATATATTTTCTTAAAATTTTCCAACATTTTTCCACGATTTTAAACCTTCATGAATTTTTCTTTTTTTAATTTAAAATGTATTATTTATATACATATTTATTTATGCTAACTGTATATTAAAAACATAAATAAGAAATGCAATCAATTTAAAATTATATACAACTTAAAATAACATTCATGATAAACAAAGCTTACAAATACAAGAATATATATTAAAAAAAAAGGATACTATTTCACTAGTCACTAGAAAAAATCATATAAAATGAAAAATACAATCTGAATATTCCATCTCAATTATGTCCTCTCCGATGTCACTGGATTTCTAAGTTGCATTTTGAATGTAATGATACTCAACCATTTAAAGAAAATATGGTAAATTCATTTGAAAACATGTGCCAGCAGAACCATTTCACCACTGTTACTTAATATTATTATTATAATAAATGGTGCATAAGGTTTGTGATAGTGGGAAGACTTTATATAGAATACATTAAAACAAAATGTAGAACTTGAATTGGATTCATTTATATATTACCCGAGTTTTGGGATTTGATGGTACTCAAATTTTTTAACTTACATTTAAAAATTTAAAATTTGAACTCTTAAATTTAATTATAGTTAAATATATCTATATATATATTTATAATTTTGTATATATTAATTTTTTTATAAATATTAAATAAATTATTATTTTTTTCTTTTTATATTCTTTCTTTTTTTCATATTTTTTTATTATTTATTAATGATATGATATTTGACTTTCCAAAATTTTTAGTTAAAGATTAGTCACTAACCACAATATGAACTTACATTTTCAACCCCAATCAATACCTTTAAATTACAAATAACCATTCCGCGCACGATATGGTGGCTTGTGGATGCATTAGGGTTCTTTGATGGCTTGAGACCCGAGAAGAGTTTTAAATGAGTGAAAGAGAAGGAAAAATTAGAAAGTGAAACGAAAATACTTTTAAAAAATAATTAAATTAACTATTAATAAAAAAATTCTAACAATTTTAAAAAAATGTAGTTAGTTAACGAAGATTAATAAACCTATGTAAGTTACATATATTTTTAGATGTTATAATAATCCTTATAACATAACCAAATTAAAAACAATAATTTTTTGTAGTGAGTACATCCTTCTATATAATTAATTAAACTTCTAAATTGAAAATCTTCAAAGGGATTGGTTCGTTAAAAAAAAAAATCCATAGTTGTTATATGTAAGTTTAAATAAAATTATAACTTTTTTTTACTCAACAATAACATACTGCTATACTATATGTTTTTTTTTTTTTATAGAATTTTATTAACTTTGTTTATGACCGTAACATATGGTGGAAAAAGTTTTAAAATTAAAATTAAAAAGAAAGAACCTATTTAAGATCATCGATGTTATATAAAAAGTAGATTGATTTGACAATTTTATCTATTAGAAAGTTAGATATATTATTCAAATAATGCGATGAAACATATTATATTTTAATAAAATTACATGCATATGTTTTTTTAAGTTTTTATATATAAGGGTCCTTATCTATGATATATGTCAGGAACTTTAAAATGCGACGACCAAGTTGCAAGATTCTTTTAATGAAATATAGTTTTATTTGGTATAGGTTTTTTTAACAGTAAATTAAAAATGATTTTACGGAATTTTAAAAATATAATTTAATAAGAATATTTCGGTCATTGTACCTACAAGTGAAACACTGGTATATACATAATAATTCAGAATTCTAACGTTACAAATCCAGTGAGTAACTCTTAAAGAATATAAGCATAATTCATAATTCAAATGTTACAATATTTGTACACAATATATATATATAATCAACATTACAGAGTTTTAAATAATTGAAACGTTGGTTTGTATCCATGTTCATTCCCGAAAACGTGCATGGCGTTGTAAATTCAACTATTAATTATATATATACATTAAGCTATAAAGTAGCAAGGGACATCTATCCATCATTCTCGGTTTTTTGTTCCACTGTGGATTGGCTCACAAGGACTTTCTTGTTAACATCATTTGTAGAGCAAAGCCCTTCAAAATGTAAACATTTTTGTGTCCTCCGACAAATATAGACTCCGAACATGGTCCCCAAAGAAAATGTGAAAATTGCCCTCAGCATACTTACGTTGGATTCTTATTAACTAATTTGAACTTTGACACAAAGCACACGGGGAGAAACGTGATATCAGAGAAAGCCCCTGTGGATGGCCAAAGCTTATATAATGCAAGAAGTTCAAAATTAACATGTTGGATCCTTTCTTCAAGCTGTCCACATACAAACTTCTGGTTCTGAATTTGTCAAAATGTCGTGGAGAGAGACGGAAAGGGAGAGTCTACTATAAATTATAAGGTACATTGTATAATCTATATAAGGTAACTAGTTGATACTATTTTTTCCCTTGTTTTCAATACTTCATACAGTTCATTCGATTGCAAAAGTTTTAAAATATTTGTATAATCGAATGTGTACGAAGATATATCTGATAACGTAGAGAGTCTACTTTCTCTTATTTCACTAATGTCACATAATTGTTACTAATGTTAAAATTGATGAATTGTTACTAATGTTAAAATTGATGTATTTGAAAGCAATGAACAAATATTTACTGAATTGTTGAAAGACATACTTTTGTAAAGAAATTAATTGTAATTATGAAATAAAGAAAATATTTAGTCAAATGGGTATGAAATGTAAAAAGATGTATATTTTAATGATTGTATTTTATACAAAAATGAGTTTAAAAAGTTAAAAAATGTTCCATGTGTGGGGTATCATGTTACAAACTGAAAGAAAACTATTAAGACAATAAGACAATAAGGATGATAGGGGATTCCTTGTCAAATTTATTTGTATCTTCCAAAAATTTCAAGGATTTAATATTTGTTTATGGATCATAATGACACTAAAAACTTTAGATGACACATAGATTAG